TTTTGCTCTGAATGAGAGGACAGTCTCACATTCCTGCAGTTGGTGGTATAAAGCTGGAAGAGTATCTGGCCTTTAGGGCTTGGGAGCACGAGCAACACTTCTGGAGCATTCCGGTTTACCCAGTTTTCATGAATGATCTTTTCAAATGCTGTAACTTGTCTGCCTGATATATCTGGCTAAAGTACATGGCTTAGTCTTTGCTGTGTGAGAGAAGTAAACTGTCTAATGAAACGCTCAAGCTGCAGCAGATGCCGCTTCCGTGTCTTTCTCATGAGAAGTTATGGCATACAGTAACAACATTGGTTATTGCCATTTGGGAGACGATAATCATTTATAACTCAGACTGTTATGAGGCTATAAAGCAGGGTGAACTGGGTGTTTGGAATCCAGCTTAGCAATAACCAAATATAATGTATTTATGGTAGATGGCTCTCAACAAGGTAGAGAAAAACAAGTTGGCTTTTGAAGGAAAATTATTGTACTATCAGGTCGTTTATATAGTCACGATGAAATAACATAAATAGTTTAGAAGTTGCCAGCCAAACACTGTTTCCAAACAAAGATTTAAACCTTTGGGAAATAACAATCAGTGACCAGCCGATTCTTCATTAAAAGCAAACAGATAAACTCTATGGGTCCTTGAGGATACTGGCAAATCTCCACATATGGTAGAACTGCTTATCTTCTCATTTAAAATGTTGTTCATAGAAAGTACCATTGCAATCGAATGTATCTGACTTTTTTGAAAACGTAAGCCATAGGACATCCTGAACGAGCTGGTGTCTGAATGTAGAACACAACTTTCATGAAGAACTCTGTCATTGCTAAAATCCTCCAGGAACTGTTTCCACTATACTTGGAAATCAGACAAGTAGTTATTTGTTAAAAATTCACTCTCTGTTTTTAGTTGTAATTTATTTTTATTTAATTCTTGACACGGTTGGATATGTTTGCATCTTTGCGTAGCCTTTTTTATCAAATCTATTACCCGTGCGCTTTGATCAAGCTGTTTAACTATTCCTTTAATAAACCAAGTAGACTGAGATCCTTTTGTCCTTCACTATTAATTGTTTTCCAATCTTCATCTTCCCTGAAGCACTTCTCTGAGCCCTTTTTCAGCTTTCATCAGCCTTCTTCAATTGTGGATACCATACATTTCTGTATTTTAGTGAGATAGAGAAGCCTTATGAAAAATTTGTAGGGAGAAGTTAGGCCTGTAGAGGCAGAGAAAACTCTCAGAGAATCGGAAAAGGGAGAGAATGGTACTGCATAGCATTTTGTTTGTTCAACTCTGTGTAAAGGCTAACAGCAAACCTGTTGCTGAGAGAAGCGAATGGTATTAACTTATGATATCAGTGCGCTGTGCTTGCGTGTATGACGTCAGTACAGCTACACTTACTCTGTGATTTGTGGTGGAATTGGGAACTTCCCTAAGAGAATGAGGCCTTCATTTGAAGCCATCCCAACTGCATTATGACTTTTTTAATCCTGCAGTTTTGGAAGTACTGACTGATGGGCGTTGTGCCTTACGATGCCACTTCTGCTTATTCTTTGTTATTTTTTGAGATGCTCTGCTGGAGTTCAGGACTGCTCTTTTGGGTTGGATATGGATGAAAGAACATTGTTCTGGTCACATCACATTCCTCTGAAGAGGAAAAAAACCCCAACCCTGCAAGACAAAAAGAAAGGTATGTCAGCATTTGCCCTCCATCTCTTCAACCCAGATGAGTTCAAGCCCTGACATGTATCGAACTCAACGCAGTGGTGAAGCTGACAATAAAGAATTTATGAAGAAATACAATAGTTCTTATCGCCTTAGCAGTGTTGTGACGATCTTGTGCCAAAACGCTGTTCTTTTATTACAGTTTGGAGACTTTGACAGTGCCAAAGTACTCGTTGTTTCTCAAAAATGTATTTGCAATGGGAGAGGAATGGCAATCCTGTGTGATAATCTCTGGGAAGAAAAAGCTAAAATAATAGTTTCATGGGTAATGGGCCCTCTTGCAGGATTGCATCTTGTTTTTTTCAGGCTAAAGACTGAACTGAATTATATAGTTCAATTTCACCCACTTCCATCTTCTCTGATCTTCAGACTGTATTTCAATTGTTAGATTGTCTTTATTTTTTAAAAAAACTTGCAAGCAAAACTGGTGCCTCTCCTTTCAGAGCAGCTATTAGTACTTCTTTTTTGACCACCCCCACTCCCCCCGTCTCCCCGAGACTTTCAGCATTTATTATCAGTTACTTTACATTGATTCAAGCACTGATTCTGAATTCCTACTGCATGCAAAGCCCATTAACTCAACATAAATTTAGGACTGTGGCCTATAAGCTTATTTTAAAACAAAAAAAGGAACAGAAAACCTTCTCTTGACTCTTGCAACCTTATCTCAAATTCCTAAGAGCCATAACATGTATTCTCCACAAACACACAGGATATGTTATGCTTCTTTCCCAAACTTTTGCCTGGGAAAACTCCTGCTATTAATTAAACTAGAACGTACTGCAGGAACTTAATGTAACCAATCAGTCCTACAGGACTGAGCTCAGGTGATCCCGCAAACACCTGTTTCAGCTACAAAAATGTTTCCTCTGAAGAAGAAATTAGTCCCTTTTTATGAGATTGAAGCAGTTTTTTCCCTCCCTTCTCCTGTTGTTTTCCTGGTGTTGTTTTTTTGTTGGGTTTTTTTTGTTTGGTTGGTTGGTTTTTTTAAGAAAATGCAGCATTTCCTAGTCAGGAAGGTCGCAGAAGCCAGCGGGGAGGACGCTGAGGGGACACGGAGGCCCGCCCCGGCGTCGCCAGCGACCACCCTGGAAACCTCCAGAAACCTCCTCACTCGCGAGCAAACCCCCTCGCGCCCCCCGCCGAGGCCGCTCCCTCGCTAGGAAAATGCGTGAGAAGCTTCGCCTCGACTTAGAGCACCCCTTCGGACCTCCGGGGGCAAGAAAGTGAAGCGTGAGTTAGCGCTAAATTAAACTAAATTAAATTAAATCGTCGCTGGGAGGGGGGTGGGGGGTGAGGGGCTGTTCCCGCCGCGGCCCCGCCCCGTGGCGGGGGGGGG